GAGCGGGGAGCACCATCCCGGCCCAGGACCTCCTGAGGGGGGAGCAGCATCTTGGCCCAGGACCTCCCGAGGGGGGGGCACCATCCCGGCCCAGGACCTCCTGGCCCAGGACCTCCCGAGGTGGGGGGGCACCATCCCAGCCCAGGACCTCCTGGCCCAGGACCTCCCGAGGGGGGAGCACCATCCCGGCCCAAGACCTCCTGGCCCAGGACCCCCCGAAGGGGGGAGCACCATCCCGGCCCAGGACCTCCCAGCCCAGGACCTCCTGACGGGGGAGCACCATCTCGGCCCAGGACCTCCTGGCAGGCAGGGAGGAGCAAAGACCTACATCGATGTTCAGGTGCCTCTTGCCCAGCCCTCGTGGGCCCTCGCGGCTTGCTGCTTTCTCTCCATCAAGCACGCCAAAGAGCTGTCCTGTGCTGCCTCAGCCCTCGGCTTTCTCAGGGGTGACTGCCACTGGAGGGAGGAGAAGGCCGGGAAGGGTCCTTTCCGGGTGGGGCAGAGGGATACGGCAGGTGTGGCCAGGGAGCCCTGGAGTCCTTGCCAGCCTCTGGTCCCCTCCACCAGGGTCCGAGCTGAGAGCCCACCCCCCAAGGAGGCGCCAGGGACCTGTGAGGAGGGCGGGGCGGCCCTCACCAGGGTTAACCAGGTGCACCCTCCTGCCTCTGCCCCCCGCACCCCTGGCAGCAGTGACTTTGGAGCCCAGGGGAGGAGGCCCCCTGCAGGCCAGGCCAGGAAAGTCCCTGCCCGAGGGGGGCAGGAGCACCATCCGGGCCCGGCCCAGGATGCCCCCTCTCCCCATCTACTGGGTCCAGTTTCCCCTGGACTCCAGGACCCAGGGGATGCCTGTGTGCTGAGCGTCAGTGGGAAGCACCCAGTCGCCAAACGAGTCAAGCGCTCGTTTCCGGGCTCGTTTATTCTCTGGGAGAGGAGCTCAGGCCTGTCCTGGCTTAGCACCTGCTGGCAGGTGTCCATGCTGGTGGGAGTGGGGGACGTGCTCAGGGCCTGAGCCCCCAGCTAGGAGGGTCTCGGAGCCCCTCTGAAGGCAGCCTTGCTGGTGAGCCTCCTTATACCACACACGATGCACATCTGATGATAACCTGTCACGCTCCACGGGCGGACTACCCCACTGAGGATGCAGACGTGTGGCCGGGACTCTGGCCAGTCAACATTTCCCAGCTGACCGTTCCCGGCAGCCTTCTGCTGACACAGGATGTCAGACCCAGACTTGACCCTGGATTTGCCAAATGGCTTTTATACAAAGCCTGGCCATCCCACCTGCACGCCGGCTCATGGGGATCCAGACACATAAAAGGTCAGAGGCCCTTGTGACTCCAGCTTTTGCTCACATCCCTAGATCCAAAACCCAAGTCCCCTAAGCCACGCAAGGAGCCCTGAGAGAAGTGTTATTTCGAAGTATATTTTAAGGCCAAACTGCCTTTCAGACCGGGGACAGTGGCACCTGCGACAGCCCCCTGGGTTGGCCCGGGTTTCAGGGACATGCCAAGGCGGGCTGTCCCGTCACCAGGGGCTCAGCTCATTCTGAGCACAGTTCCTGCTCGTGCCCTGGGTCAGGCTTATCGATGAGGTTCGGGGAAGGAGACTTACCCTCTAGGGGACGCTGGTCCTCCCAGAAAGGTCCCTCCTGCAGGTCCCCGCTGAGCAGCTCCTGCAACAGCAACAGGACAGCCAGAGGACACAGCTCAGCAGCAGAGACCCAGGCACGAGCCCTGGGCACCCGAACCGGACGCCAGCCTCCCGGGCTGTCGTATGCTCTCGGCTGAGAGATATGACCTCTCCACACCTCACTGAGCCTCGGATTTTAGAAAGCAACCCCCACCCCCCGGGGTCATCCGGATGCAACTGCACCGCGTCCGGAAGATGTGGCTGCCTGTGCGCGCAGCGGCTGCCGTAGAATGCGCCCCGCGTGCCCGGGTCGAGTGGCATGGCCTTTGCCTGAGCCCGCAGCATAGCCTTTGCTGTTAGAGGACAGCCCGGCACAGGTGCCGGGCTGCCCTCCCCCTCGGCTGCCAGAGCCCAGGGCGGCGGCGGCGGGGAGGGCGCTCGGGGCAGCCGGACGGCGTGAGAGGACCCCGTAGCCCATCTCAAGGCCAGTTACGGAAAAATGGGGAAAGATCCTCAGCACATCCGAGCGGCTTCGGCAGGAAAGCTACTGAGTGGAAGTTCGGGGAGTTGCATAAATAATTCACAGAAGCAAACAACGTGGAGAAAGAAACACCAGACGTGACCGGGGAAGCCTCCTTGAATCGAAAGGGCCCCAAGATGGTGTGGAAACCGGCCACCCCAGGAGCCGGCAAACCTCCCAGGGGCCTTTGTGGGGAAGTGACGATTCTTGTCCCTGCGACTGGTGATTTCAGACAGATTCGTCCCCGTTACACAGACACCCTTAAATCTGTGCTGCTTCGGCTAAAGAGGGGGGGGTGCAGAGAGCTTGGAATGGGACACATCAAACCCACCGCAGCCCCTGGCCAGATGTGCTGCGGGCCCTGCCCAGGGGGCCCCAAGGGGCCGAATCCCAGATGGCGGGGTCCCATCGAGAAGAGGGCGTAACCATCTGCCCCTCTGGGCGTCCCAGCAAGGGCCCGCCTCCCACAGCAGCGCCCTCCCCAGCCCGCCTGGGTGCCCCCGCCCCTGCCAGAGCAGCCACAGCCTGCCCACACCCTTCGCTCCCCGCCAGAGGCCACGTCTCTTGCTGAGACCGCCCCCAGCTCAGACTCCTAAGCTCCCCGTCCTCCCTAGCAAGCGGCCCCTCACCGGACAGGCGCTGGAGGAGGCCAGGAGAACCCAGCTCCTCAGGGGAGGCCTGCCAGATGCCCCCGCCGCTGCCCATGGGTGCAGAGACACTGGGAGCTTGGACGAAAAAAGTAAGCTTCCGGCCTCCCCTGAAAAGCCAGAAGGTCCAGCCACATGTTCCCAAGGATCCCCAGGACCCTCCGCCCCTGGGGATACCCCCACGCCATCCCCCACCCCTGGGGATACCCCCACGCCATCCCCCACCCCTGGGGGGGCCTCTCTCAGGCATCCTTCTCCTGTGGGGGACCCCCACGCCACCAGAACTGTGGCCACGCTGGGCCAGCCACCCCGTGGTGTTAGGTCCGAGAGGTCACGTGCACGTCCTGGCCGGGACCAGCTCCTGTCAAGGCCATGTGGGTGTGGGGGTTTGGGGTTATGCAAACGATCCCCCCAGGAGGAGTCTACTTTTCAGATTTCAGCGTCTGTCTTTCCTGGAAACCCATTTCTCTCGCCCCTGGAAATACCCTGAGGAAAACCGCTTTTCTAAGACCTCTTCCTTCTCAACCCGCTAAAGCGTGGGCTCAAAAACTGCTCTCTGTGGAATAATGCTGAGCATTCTGGAAGGATCTCATGGGTCTGCTGTAAACACGAGGCCACGGTGAGAACATCCTGAGCACAAAGGGGAGGCTCAGCTTCCGCCTCAAAGCCAGGCTGCGACCGGAAACGGGGGGCAGGTCGGCTGGAAGGGACAGCTGTGTGTGTGCTCCCCAAGACAACACTCGGCCTGCCTGAGAGCCGGGTTCTCCCCCGGATGCTCGCTGTGTGTTGAGTCCAGAGGAGTGACAGCAAGGACCTGAGCACGTTCTGTTGTGACAAGAATCCAGCATCTCCACGGAGGGCTGGGCTGCTGGGACCCACGGTGAGCGGTGGGCGCGTGCCTCCCTCCACCTCGCCCCTGCCAGCTGCTGCCCTGTGAACTGCCCCTTCTTCTGTGTTAAAAAAAATGCAGAACTAGGGGCAGCTGGGTGGCTCAGTCGGTTGGGCGTCCGACTTCAGCTCAGGTCATGATCTCACAGCTTGTGAGTTTGAGCCCCACATCGGACTCTGTGCCGATGGCTCAGAGCCTGGAGCCTGCTTCCGATTCTGTGTCTCCCTCTCTCTCTCTCTGCCCCTCCCCTGCTCACGTTCTGTCTCTCTCTGTTTCGCAAACATAAATAAACATTAAAAAACTTTTAAAAGGCAGAATGGTCCACTCAGTGCACCTCGCAGCTACCTCGTGACTCCCGACCTGGAGCCCTGGAGCCTCTAGGGTCCTGGAAACGTTGGCCTGTTCCTCAAATGTAAGGTCAAGGCTGCTTCCACTTCTGAGGGGCAGGACTGGGAGAGAGGTGGGAGGGAGGTGGGATGGGGAGTCCAGGCAGGGGTGAGAGGTGGGGCGAGGGTGACAGATGGGGTGGGGGTAGGGAGGGAGAGGAAGACAGAGATGGGGGAGGCAGGGGAGGGGAGGGAGGGGAGGGAGGGGCCCCGGGCAGGTGTGTTGCTGGCATTTTCCAGAACCAGATGCTCTTGGCATAACAGCCACTGGGGCTCCCCAGACCCTCAGGGGAGGGTGGCCCGAAATGCCGGGTGGCCCCTCACGACCATCTAGAAGGTGCTGTTCAAGCATCCCCATGAAGTCGGAAACAAGGGGGGGTCCCTCCTCGCAGGCCCCACCGGCACGTCCGGGGCTCCCGGCCCCTCCACGGCCACACCACCTGCCCCCCGCCACCGTGGCCCAGCTCACACCAGCTCCACCCCGCACTGGGGGTGCCGACCAGCCAGCAGGGTTTCTGACCATCGGGGACGTGATGACAGGAGAAGCAGGTGGCTCTACAGCAGAGCAGGGAGGGTCTTCGGGTGGCTGGACGGGAAGGAGCCCTCTCAGCCACCAGCGCACGGCTCCCGCCATCGGCACCGCTGACCGGCCGCGGGACTCCCAGAGACCAAGGGCTGCAGCGTCAGGAGCCCCCAGGACCATCTCCCCTGGGTTAATCCCGCCGACGGGGGCCGCCCTGGGTGCTGGGTGGCCAGGTGGGAGGCCAGGCAAGGAGCTGCCTACCGTGTGGCGGAAGACGGTGGAGTGACAGGGCAGATGGGGGTTTGCGGGCCCAGGAGGGGAGGCCGAGGGGTGCAGGGCAGAGGCCCGGCGAGCACTGTGGGTGGTGGGGCCTCACGCTCGGGTTCTCGGGGTTCAGGACACGGGGCGGGATTGACATGGGGTAAGAGGTGAGGAGTCTGGGCTCAGCACGCAGACCCGGGCCTTGTGGGGAAAGGCGGAGAGCGAGGCCAAGTCAAGGGTCAGGAGTGCAGAGCCCTGGGGAGGACGAGGGCCAGGGCGGGAGGCTGCAGGGGTGGCGGGGGACAGGAGCCCCAGCCCGCGGTCCCATGAGGGCCCCTGCCTCCAAAGCTCTTTGAATGAGAAGAACCCCCACGCCTGCCTGCCAGGAATCCGAGGCGGTTGGGGGTCTGGGGGCGCGTCCGCCCACACGCGTCTCGGGACCCGGGGTAGCGTTGCCCCCATACTCTGTTTTGACGAGAGGAAGGCAGGAAGGCGGAGACCCGCCATCGGGTGGAGTGTGACCTCGCGGCGACCCGCCAGCGAGTCTGTCTGGATCGCCTCGGGCGGCTTTGAAGTGCGCCTCTCGGTTTCCGCAGCTAAACAGTTTCAGATGTGACACGGCGGCTTCACGGGCTTGATGATTCCGACACGCGTGCTGAGGCCCGGGGGCCCCGCTCAGGACTCCGGACCCTGAGACCAAGGCTCCCGGGGAGGCGGGCGGGCTTCAGCTTCTGGTTCTTTCTTTCACAATGACAAGGCTTCCAGATCTGAGAGCGGCCTTTCCAGATTTTGTCCATCGGTGCTTCTAGGTTAGGGCTGTTTCATCAGACTTTGTAATCACCAATCTGGAATTTATGTCTAGAAACCCGGTAATTTGGGGGACCAAATTACCCGAAATAAATGTGTCTGTCTCTTCACACGCCAGCTCTCTGCTGGAACTTACTCCCCAAATGAGGTCGGACAACAAAAATGGTTCCTCTCTGTCTCATCCCCAACACGGTTTGCCATAAAATTGCTTGTTTTATTAAGAAAAGACACAGAATGCATTACCTGCCCCGCTTCCCCTGGTCTCTAGAGGTTAATAGCACCCACTCCCCCCAGAAAACACCCTGAGACTGTCCCCGAGGACCCCTCGCTTGGACCTTGCTGGAGATTGGTTGCCAAGCGTGTGGCGGGAATGGCTGAGAAACCACAGCACGGGGACAGGAGCGTCAACCCAGGACACGCCGCGGAAGACGCAGCCCAGCGGCCGGCCCCAGTGCATGGGGATGTCGGGGGGAGAGGACACATACGTGTGAATATACACGTGTGGGATGGTATCTCATGTGCACACACACACACACGCGCGCACACGGGTATGCACATGCACACACATGCACACACACACTTCTACCCCAGATAATCGAGAAGGGGCCATAAATATGCTAAAATCATCCCCAGGGACGTTAGCATCCGGGAACTGTTTTCAGTCTAACACTAAATGTTAGAGAACGCTTTTCTCAGCTGACCTGCAGACTCGATTGTCTGCTCCCAAACACGCCTGCTCCTGTCTCTGTCTTCAGAGTTAACGATTTATAATTTCCCAGAAAAAAGAAAATCAAGGGTGACTGACCTTCCATATCCTGCTGCTGTCCTCTGAGCTTACTGGCCAGAGGCCACAAAACACAACACAGAGCCCCCCATCCCCTTGGGAAGCGGCCGCACCCCAGGCCAGTCCTGTGTAGACAAGGTTGAACGCACCAGGTTTAAAGTGCAGACCCAGAAGCCGGCTCCCCTCTGTCTGAATCTTCCCCGGGAACCCTGACTTCTCCCGTTCTTTCATTTGTATTAAAGCCTTATGTTTCCACTTCACCGGAAGACTAATCCCAAAGCTGGAAAAGAACCCATGGATTTTAGGTCTCTTTTGTTTGTTTTTTACTTTAGAAGGCGCCATCTGCTCTGTGAAGTCCGTGTGCTGAGCAGAGAAGAACGGGCTGGGAGTGTTGAAGGGCTCCTATCTGGTTCCGGCACACGACCCTGAGGACTGGGCTACTCTGGGGAAGGTGATACGCACTGTTTCTTCCTCTGGAACCTTCTTGCTCGCGTCACGTGCAAACACAGCCCTTGAACGGCAGGGACGGATGCCCCCCCCCCCCAGCCTCTGGGGAGACCCCCGAGCTCAGAGGGAGCAGCTCGTGCCGGCCATGCCCCTTCTGTGCCCGCACCCCTCCCACGTTCAAGGAGGCACACGTCTTAGTTAAGCAACGATCTGGACTCAGAACCGGGAACTGCAAGTGCAAAGGACGAGCCCCGAGTGCAGGACACATGCTTGCCGGGCCGCTGGTCAGGTGACACAGCGCAGTGGTTCCCAGGATGACGACGAGATCCGCACAGTCGCCTGGTCACACTGCCCTCTGGCCCGGGACTCACCCCACCCGGTGTCCCCCCCACGCCCCGCTGTCTGACTCCCGCAGCCCGTGAGCAGCGCGGGGCCCGCCTGGGTTGGGTCCCGGCTGCACGGCTCTATGCAGCGCGACCCCGGGCAATCCCCTAACCCTACCGTGCCTTGGTTTCCCCTCTGCGGAAGGGGGAAATGACTGTTGTGACGGGCGGTCCTGACCCTGCCGCTGCAGCGAACGGGTCGCGTCCAGAGTTCGTAGGTGAGGCCTGCGGGTGTCGGCAGGGGCTGCAAGGCCCCCCCCTGCCCTCCCGCCACGAGACTGAAAGATGTGTTTGCTCTGCCTGCCTTAAAATTTCTCTCCTTGTTGTTGGTTTTCAGCAATCGGATTGTCAGACATCCTGGCACAGTTTTCTTCGTTTGCCTGAAGGCACGGAGCACCTTCGGTCTGTGGTTTAGAGTTTTTATTACGTTTGAAAATCGGGGGCCGTATTTCCTCAGATCCTTGCTGCTCTCCTCCTTCTACGCTCTCTAGGCGCGTCGGACCAGGACGCAGCCCCCGGCGCTCTGCGCACACGGCCGTGCAGGCCCCTCTCTGTGCTCCGTCCTGGCCCACGTCTAC